AATTAGTTCCAACAGATACAGTTCCAGTGGCAGAACTGAATTTTCCCACATCTAATTCAGACTTCGAACATTACATTAACATAGACTAATATGATTTGAATAAGTTCAATATTGTGTTATAATATTTCAATTTTTGTCAAAACTAATTAGAATTAAAATGTCAAACAAACGATAAGCACAAACCTAGCGAACATTTCGCAGCACTCAATTATTTTTTATTGAAAGAGAGAATTTTAATAAAATGTAAATTCCGATAAACAGAAAGTATTGTAATTCCATACAGTAAGGTTCGCTTTATTAAGCCTTTCATTTGTTGGCTCGCTTAGTTGACCGCTTGCTCCCAGTCAGCCTTATGATTATTATAACACGAGAAAAGTATTATTTTAAGCATAGAGATGAGATTCATAAAAAATACAAATTCTAACAACAAGAAAAATCTTCATTAAACATTACAGATTAGTATGAATGCCGGTATGTTAGTAAGTATGTTAAAGTCGAGTTGAGTAATTCAATTTCATCCTTGTCTAAATCTTCTATGAGTCTAATGACTTTCTGAAATGATGATCGAGTATCAATTCGTAAAGATCGAACAGATTGATTTTTTTCGTCAATTTCCTCTTGTTTTAACAATGGTTCTTCGTCGAGTTTTGGGGAGAGAATCACATCCGATTTCCATTTCTGGATCTTGTTCTCTTCTTTATTTCTGAGAGTTCGACGTTTCATATTGTTAGACGCATTTAGCCATTGCCGTTGAATCAACATTCCACAAAATATTATCATTGTTATAAAGAATAGAATCGACAGCGACATTATTAATATTAAATATCGCCGTTTCATCCGATCGCTGATGAACGAGTTTTGTGGTATTTTTGTAACTGATGGTTCCTTCACAATGAGATGATCTAATTCCTTCATTTTCATGTTCCTTAATTCTATTATTTTAGATTCGAGCCAACTCATACTTGTAGTTGATGGTAGCAATGATCGTTTATATGAATTACGCACCAATTTTCGAGAGATGCCATTTGCAGATGTTACTCTATTTGTTATTACATTTTTCTTTCTATTTGTCAAATGGTTACGTTTGATAACTAATCCAGAGTAGTTGGGATTATAGTCTAATCCCGTATGAGATACGGGTTCCTCCTTGAAAATATATGATAGCACGTTTCGATAGTTTTGATTATTTACGAATCGTTGATTACGTTTCAGTCTTCTATAGAGTATATTTTCATTTTTTTCGATCAGTTGTCTGTTAGAAGAAATTACACCTTTGAGTAAATCCTGTTCTTTTCGGATTCTAGAAAATCTATAGTGTTTGTTATTTCGATATGTCCACAGTCCTAAATGTCGTGTTCTTCTCGCAGCAGGTAGAGATTTCGTCAAAGTTTCTTGAAATAACAATCCAAGTATAAAAATAGAAATTGCAAACATTGCAAGAAAAGAATGACTTCGAAAAATTTTAACAATAAAACTATTTGATTATTGATATCTTATTATTTCGTTTAGTAGTTTGTTATGAATGTATATGTCATTTCTTTCTACCTGATTAGATATATTTTTTCAACTCATAAAATATTTATTGGGCTGAGATTCAAAAAAAATTAAAGACCGATTAATTACCACTGTTGTCTCTAAGTATCTATCCTTCCTCAATCTTGAGAAAGGTGTTAGATAGTTAAAAACAGATACCAGATGTGGAAAGAGCAGGGACAGTAAGCCCCGATTAATTGTAGAAAAAATTCCGGTTTATAACAGAAGTCATGTTATTTCAGTTCAGATATTTCAGTTCAAAATCAAGAGAGTAATTTGATACTGTACTCTTAAACTGTCATTCAAATTTTCATGCGTAAGACGTGATCTAAACGTATTTTTACCATATCTACTAAATCTTTATTTTTACCTTGTAGTTCAAGATTTAACTAATTTAATTTCTGAAAAATGTCTGCTAAAAAAACTAAGTCATCTAGCCAATTAGGATCTTGAAGTTTGTTATAAATTTCCCCTTTTTTGCTCAAGAAATTCTTTTATTTCAGTAATAAAATTAAGAAACCTGTCTAATACTTTGCCTTTGCTAAGCCACTTACTTCTGTGTAAGTTATTAAATCTGAGAACTCAGCATCATCATTTTCCAACAGCTTTTTTAAAAAATCTGTGCTGTAATGGAGCAGCTTTTATAGAATTTATAATTTTTGTTATGAAGTCTAAAACGTGGTTAAATGAAAGAACTTTAGTACACAAAACTTGTTGATGTATAACGCAATGGTAAGCAAAAAATTTGGAAATGATTCATCTTTTCTACATAAAGTTATAAATCGTTTATTTTTACCACCCCTGATCCGCTGTAGACTCTAAAGAACAGAATTGTTACGGTGCAAACAGTACATAATCACGTCTCAAAGAAGTCGTTAATCTGACAGAGGGATGACCAATAGATTTCAGTTTATACAGACAATACGTGTCTCGGAATTGTTCATATTATCGTCTAATGCTCTGGTCAGTAGGTGGTTTAACACTATATAATCGTCGAAAATCATGCTAAATAGTTGTTACGGACCAATACTTCGCAAAGCGTTGAACACGAAATGATTTCTGTTGTCCAGTCGCCATCTTGAAAATACGGAAGTGACAGGTAAACGAAGCACGCGAGTTCTGCCAATCAGCAACCGCGTATAACTCGAGAATTTCCTTTTTCAAACAGTACTTCGTTCAATCAAACCGAATTATAAGCTGAATAGTTTTGATTTTTTAAATCGAATGATTTTTTTTGAAACACCCTGCATTAATTTTTTTTCAAAATTCGAATAAGGGACAACTATTCAATGGTACAGGTACCTTCTACTTTCAACGATTCTGATATCGAACGTTCCAGAGTTAGAGGTTAGTAGTTGCTGTCCGAATAGTCCAACAGACTAAGCAGTTCCGAGAAAACGACCCATCGAAATAGTTTAGCACTTAACGAAGAAACTATGTCTGTATTCAAACCATGTTTTCTATTGTAAGGCAATTCGATATAACTTGTTACTTTCCTGGCTGTTAAGAATACATAATAAGGAAAGCTATTGAAATCGTGTCAAATTTGTCCTTTCGAGTATATTGCAAATCCACACGTTTTGAAATTTCCTGAATCCAAAAACTAAAAAATAGGCAAAAAGTTTAGTGTAAGTAGGTGTTAGGTGTGGGATTTTCGATTAATATGTCATGATAGAGTAAAGATTAACAGACGAAATTTGATCCGGTAGCTTGTATATGAGAAGCGTTAATGATACTAACTTTTAATGGTTACTGGTCGAGAGAATGAGATATAGTGGTGTCACTGAACATAAATTGGTTGGGACGTGGGCGCTGGATGAGTCACCAACAGGAGTTGTAATAACCGTCAATGGTTATAACGTAAGCTTATATATACTGAAAGAGGATGTCAGATAACGCATCTGCACGGTAAGAGAGGGCGACTAACGCCTTCCCCAAGAGCCAGATTGATTGCATAATTTATTTAGTAATATAGTCCTGTCTAGCACGACAGAATTCGGCATTGGTTGATGTCTTGCTTTATAGTATATCGGGTTTAGCGTTGTTGTTTGTTTATATAATAATTACAGTCGAATCCACACAAGTCCACATCCCAAGGGGAAGTGGTATTGTGTCGAGTTATCCGATATGACGACTAAAATGAAGTTGAAAAAATCCACAAAACGGCAATTAGGTAAATACCGTAGTGCTATATACAGTACAGTATATGCAATGTATCTCTCTGACCGTCCATCACTGCCAGTGAAGACGTGTTTCTCAGATGATGTATAAGAGTTTCCGCTTCACGATGAAAGTCTCTCGTTTAACGCGCTGTACAGCTTGGGTTTGTGGCAAAGCATTTTAAAGAGTTCAGCAAAGTTTATTTTATAATGCATCTATTATTTTTAAAAATTTAACAGTTAGACATAAAATTTCATCAATTATTTGTACCATTTAGGCTATATCTATCATATGAGAAACAAAAATTCTACGAATTGCAAACAGAGGTCCGTTTTCTGGGAGTTTAATATCTTAAATTCTTTCTTAATTATATCTAAATAAATGCCATGTAATATAAGTTTAAATGTATAAAAATTGATTAAAATAATAATATTATTGATAATAAGTCAATATTATAAGCGACAAACTCTGGGAGGATTAGCAATATAGAGTCGGTTCATCAATACTTTAAATTTGTGCCTGGTCTCCTTATTACTTCAGCCTAATATATAAACAAACGTAACGCAAGAATGAATTATTTATAGAGGTAGTAATGTATATTTATATTTTTGTAAACTCTCTGTCACGGTATAAATTAATTAATAATACATTTTTAAACAGATTCATGACCTCTATGTTACGTTTATTATGTTCATTTTGCGATGTATCAACCAGTCTTTTATACGCAGTATTTATACCATCGCTTGACACAAAAAAATAACAGGATATTTAAAAATGAATCGAAAACAGTTAATTTCCTATAATAATCTTTAAAATAAAACAATTTCATTTTTTGTGTTAATATATTAATATAGCCTTTGTTTTTCACAGTTGGTCATTTTTATATATCTGTTTGATATAATTATCTATCCGTGTGTTTTCGATTCATTTTCGAATATCCTGTTATTTTTGTGTCAAGCGATGGTATAAATACTCCGTATAAAAGACTGGTTGATATATCGCCTAGTACTTCTTTTTACCATAACCTCTTATACGTCATCTGACAAACATGTCTTCAGAAAGTAAGTAATTTTATTTAAAAGTTTACATTTGACATCAATCTTCTTGAGTGTCCAAGATCAGATAATATTAAAATATTGTTATTACCACAAATAGTTTAAAAAGCATTGTTCTCTTTGCGATATTCTATCTTACGAACAATTCCTAAATGAACGAAAAATAGATATTTTCAAAACNAAGTCATTTCTAGAAAAATAAAATTCAAATATCCCGTTCAGATTGACAAATTGTCAGTCACTTACAAACTAATGTCTCTGAATGCTGGTGGAGTAAAAACTGACAATAATGGAAATATACAGGAAATGGCTGCCGTCTGTTTGTTATACCCAACGGACGAGAGCGATATCACTAAAAAAGAATTGATAGCACAATGGCGAAAAACGTTTTATTCGCGAATAAAAGAATTTAAATTTAACTACATAAAAATATCTCCATGTCCAGTGACGTCCGTTGAATTAGAAATTCCAATTCTTGCTGGTAACATAACTCTTCTGATAGGAGTTTCAGTAACAGTAATTACTATCTTATGTGTTCTGATGTACATGACTAACGACTGGGTTAAGAGCAAACCGTGGATGGGAATAGCTGCTGTCGTTTCTGTTGGTTTAGCAACAGTTTCGTCTTTTGGTCTGTTGAGTGCAGCAGGAGTTGACAATCCGAGTACCAACGTTGTCATACCTTTTAACGTTTAGACGTCTGATAAGTCGACTCCCTCCAAAAAAAAGGAGTTCACGTCATACAGCTTAACGTCACAGCAGAATCCGATTTTGCATTTTCTCACCTTTCATTCCTGCGGCAAGTGTGTCACATTTCTGATGAAAACGAGTACCGAAACCTAACAACGCTTACGCTGAAAGAAAAATACGAACTTGTATTTGAATGTAATAAAACTTATCAAGCCAAATCTTCAACCAATGCCGAATTCTATCAGGCTAGACACGGCTATATTACTAAATAAATTATGCAACCAATCTGGCTCTAGAGGATAGTGTTAGGCGCCCTCTCTTAATAACTTTAATAATTATAATTTTTAATTAACTAACTGAAATAATTTAAAACTACTGGCAGAACAAATCGTTAGTAAGCGGAACTCGAACCCACAACTCCTATCTTACCGTGCAGATGCGTTGCCAGTTATGCTATCTGATCTCCTCTTCCGGTATATATAAGCTTACGTTATAATTATAACCGTCAATAGTTATAACGTAAGCTTAAGCGGTATATACTGGAAGAGATCAGACTGACGATACAGATAATGTAAATGGCAACGCATCTGCAGGGTGAGCTAGGAGTTGTGGGTTCGGTTCCGCTCAGTCTCTACTTTTTTTTTCCAGTAGTTCTAAATTATTTAAATTAGTTAATTAATAATTGTAATTATTCAATTAAAGTTATTAAGAGATGGCGCCTAAGGCTTTCCTTTAGTGCGAAATTGGTTGCATAATTTATTTAGTGTAAGTTCGCCGACTTCCGGGGGGGGAATCGTTAATCCCGCGTCAGAATGATCTAGGGTCGAACGCGTGTGGGTGTTGTGGAGGAGACACGGATGACAAGAATCTCACAAAAACCCGTTTATTTTAAACATGAAATTAAACTTACACCTAGGAACAAATATTGTCTAGATACAATCGACTGTTTGGACGTCGTGGATGTTTATCTATCGTCACTCGGAGATGGGCCCAGGGGCTGCGGCAGATAGGGAGACTTAATCACGAGAACGGAATTTCATAGATTAAAGTCGAGACGAAATATAGATACATATGGGTACCCCGAGATACGAAAACTTCCGATTCAAACTGGAATTCAGGTTATTTCAATACAAAATTTTCTCCTAAACAGCGACAGCAATTTGATGAACATGACTCCATTGTCAACAGAAAGAGTACAATGTACAGGGGCAAGAAACTACTAAAGTTGAGAGAGTTGTGAGGAACCATTTCAGTGCGACATTGTGATTATGTTACAATAATTTTGGTTTTTATGGCTAACGATTATGGCTGTTAATATACGGCAATGAATTTCATCAGTAAGCATAAAATAACATGCCATGTTATTGCACTTCAACTTTATGGGGTTTACTGACAAACTTGAAATGGCACCAATAACTTTCCAGATTAAAATAAAATACACCAGTATAACTTTATATTTCATAAATTAACATTATTCGCTTTCAGATTAAACTTTCTATAAGATATTACATTTACTTTCAGATATGGAAAACAAAACCGGAAATATGGACAGAAAGATTATGATTCTCAGAAATACGTTAGCACGACTCTTTGGAAAATTAGGAGAATTTATTGCTCTTCATCCCTTATCCTTCATCATCCTGCCTGTGGTCGTGTCATTGTTGCTTTCTGTTGGGTTTATTAATATTAACTTTAGGGACGATATCAACTACCTGTTTTCTTCTGACAAAGGAAGGGTCTTTTCAGACAAAAGCTTTATAGATAAAACGTTCCCGATGAACACCTCACAGTTTTTTGATATTCTGAGAATGACTGAAAGGCCTGAAATGACTGCAGTTGTTTATATTACTAGCACAGAAGAAAATAATATGTTAAAGAAAGAAATTTTAATGGAAATCGAACAATTCGACAAGCTGGCAAAAAATATATCTATTATAGTTAATGGAAAGCTTATACAGTATCAAGAAATTTGCGGGATCGTTAACAATAAATGTTTTGAGAATCCCATATTATCAATGGTGAATCACATCAATGAAGTTATTTCTAGAAAAATAAAGTTCAAATATCCCGTTCAGATTGACAAATTGTCAGCCACTTACAAAGTAATGTCTCTGAATACTGGTGGAGTAAAAACCGACAATGATGGAAATATACAGGAAATGGCTGCCGTCCGTTTGTTATACCCAACGGACGAGAGCGATATCACTAAAAAAGAATTGATAGCACAATGGCGAAAAACGTTTTATTCGCGAATAAATAAATTTAAATTTAATTATATAAAAATATTTCCATGTCCAGTTACGTCCGTTGAATTAGAAATTCCAGTTCTTGCTGGTAACATAACTCCTCTAATAGGAGTTTCAGTAACAGTAATTACTATCTTATGTGTCCTGATGTACATGACAAACGACTGGGTTAAGAGCAAACCGTGGATGGGAATAGCTGCTGTCGTTTCTGCTGGTTTAGCAACAGTTTCGTCTTTTGGTCTGTTGAGTGCAGCAGGAGTTGACAATCCGAGTACCAACGTTGCCATACCTTTTATCATTTTGGGTAAGTAATAATACTAACAAATTAACTTTAACTTGAGCTAATATATTGTATATTTAGCTACAGAAATCGATGACGCCTTTGTGATGATAGCTTGCTGGAGGATCACTGATTCGAAAAAAGTTGTTGCCAAACGTATGAAGGATACTTATTCCAACGCTGCAGTATCTATCACTATCACTTCGCTGACCAATGTAGCCTCCTATTGTATTGCTATGACTGCACCTTTTCCTATTGTAAGATTATTCTGTTCGTATGCTGCAACATGTGTGGGCTTTACTTACCTTTACCAAATAACTTTCTTTGGAGGATGTCTGGCATTAAGTGGATACAGAGAAGAAAAGGGCCTTCATCCATTTACTTTCAGAACATCAGGTAAGTTGTTGAGCGTTTCTGTATTAACTTTATTGAAAATTATCATTAATAATATATTACATAATTAGTGTATAATTGTAAATTAGTCTTGTATTAAAAATACAAACAAAAATGTTTGAATAGAGCGTAAAACTCTTACATAAATATTGTGTCTGGTGTTGTAAATGTCCTTTAAATTATAGTCGAGTTAAACAAGATACGACAACATGCTACATCGGCAGTTGTCGAAGGATGATGTCTCCTGATAGCTGTTTTAATGAAAGTTGGCCTTTTTTTCGGTGTGAGAAAATCTGAAACCACAAGGCAAGCTGTCGATGAAGAGTACATTTGCGACCACTAGTGTATTTCATAGATCTGAGAACCATTGGGCAACTGATGGGATTTTGCAAACTGTATGTCATACTCTCTCTATATAGAATTCATATATAATATGCAGATGGTACATATGCACACATATAACATATGTTATGCAACGTTCGTATATAGTCTATATATGCTATGTAATCAACTTGTAATTAAAGTTATTTATCATTTAATTTGCTGTTTGCCATTATACAGTAGAGCGTCGTTTATCCGAAACAATTGTGGACTGGAGTGGTTCGGATAACTTATTTTTCGGATAACGAATCATGTACGAAAAAATACATTAATTTATCCCATGTTGAAATTACTCTCCGTTACGTGTCGCTTCGCGTTGAATTTTCGTCGATGTTAAGCCTAACGAAGACTATTGTATCGTTAAAAATTATTTTTTTATTTTGTACAAACAAAATAAATTTATTGAAAAATATAAAAACAATAAAAAAATATACTGCAGATGTTAATTTAGTATCAAAAACGTAAAATATTTGAGTATCCCGAAAAATAGCCGAAGATTGCAGCGCCACAGCACTAGCGAAAATTAAATTTGCTGACTGAAATGCTTTCGGATAACGGACGTTTCGGATAACCAGCTTTCGGATAAACGACGCTCTACTGTATTTGAATTTCATATGCCTGAATGATTAATCAGTGTCTTTTTTTCTCGTTTACAGATTTGTATAAAGAACCTAACAGCAAAGAACACGACTTCTATTTTATGAAAGTCTTTTCAAATAAAATTTCTGCATTTATTTCTCGTTCTTCGACAAAAATTCTTATTATACTTTTATATTTCATTAACCTGTCAATAGGAATTTTGGGTATATTTTCTTTAAGGGAAGGCTTAAATTTTCTCCACATTTACCCAAAAGGGTCTTTAATATACGAAAGTTATCGCTTGCATTATCAATATTTTACGGAATACAGTTTTCCCATACACATTGTAATTAACGAAACGTTAGATTATTCAGACTGGCGAGTTCAGAAATCCATTGAAAAGGTATTGTCAAAATTTCAATCTCATCCCAATATTGCTGGGGGTGACCTGGCGTTATCCTGGTTAAGATATTATAAAGTTTTTCAAAATCACCCCGTGTCAAGGTATTCCTTGATGGGATATGACGTGTCGCGCAAACAAGATTTCATTGATGGTTTACGCTATGTTTTTTTCAAAATTGGTAATGCTAGAGAATTGTCTAATGATGTTGCATTTAATAAAAACTTCACCGAGATAATATGTAGCAGATTCTTTATGGTGGCAAAAGATGTCACTAGCAATGAAATTGAATACAAATTAATAAAAAATATATGGAATATGGCAGACGAATCAGAATTTCGACTCGTCGCACATACTGTAATTTCTCCAATTATAGAACAAGGAATTGTCATTAGAAGTCTTACTTTTCAACTGTTCTGGCAAACTGCCTTAGTAATACTTATTGTATTTTTCTTATTTATTCCTGATTTTGTTTGCGCGATTATTGTGGCGTTGTCGATTGTATCAGCCATTGCTGAAACAGTAGGATACATGGCATTTTGGAAAATAAATCTTGACATTGTTTCTGTGATCATCTTGATTCTTTGCATCGGGTTCTGTGTTAACTATCCAACACACATGTGTTATTCATTTCTGACTTGCGATAAAAATGGTAAAGAAAAATTGAAAAGGTCTTTGTATCATGTAGGTTTTCCCATTTTTCAGGGATCGTTATCAACAGTTATAGGGATACTCGTACTACTTTATAACAATATGTATGGATACGTTGCATTTGTTAAAATAGTGACTATTATATCTGTGGAAACTGCATTTCACTCAATGTTTGTGATTCCTGTTTTGTTGGTTGTTATTAGCTCTTATCTTGAAAAAAGAAAGGAATTTTCTACTGTTTCTAAACACAATGATATGATGGAGACTGAAAGCTTAAATTTATAATTTTTACGTCATTGAAGCTGTCGTTTGTATGTGTGTAGTATATATTGTAGAATGTAAAAGGATTAAAAATACTTAAAATATGTTTTTTGTTCTCCTTATTCTAAATATATAAAGGACATTAAAATTAATTTTACATCACAAAATGTTTTTCCTTGTACCTTCAAATACAGCTTTCATGATACAATGTAGTGTTATAAATGCTGTGTACATTAGATTTATAAAATAAATCTGTAAATACAAATAACGAGTAAAATCTGCATGAAGTCGGATTTCTTCTGAGCTATCATACGTGACAATACGTTATCGTTCCCCTTCGAAATTTACTAGTATCATTTTCCCTCATACACACGCTACCATGCCAAATCACGTTTCTTTTTCTTTACCCCATGTTCAGATATTAAACGAAATAAACAGAAACAAGCATACAGTACGTAGATATTTTGACTTTCTTTTATGTATAGGTCTGAAAACATTGAAGATTTCCAAAAAATGTCGAGGGTCAAATTTGATATGTTTTCAATACTATCCTTTGTTGTGTATGTATAACAACCGGAAAAGAAATAAATTTAGCAACTTGTTGAGGAACTTTTTCAGTTTTCATAAAATTCTATTCAAAAAATATCTTATACATTATTAACCATAATAAATAAATTTGTTTGTGGAGCCATCTGTTATGAGATTTCGTTATAAAGATTTCCTATACTTTACTTTCCTGGCTCATATATACCGAGGAAAATAATTGCAATCGTGTCAAATTCGTTCCTTAGAATATTTTGCTAATCACTATGTTATGTTACCCCTAAATCCAAAAAAGTCAAAAAAGGGCAAAATTAATCGATCGATATGTATAGGTTTACTACAATATTTATATTATTGGACATCCACGAGCCATACAACAAACACATTCCACAAACAGTATTGGAAAACAACACGCACAAAATGTGCTACGACAGAGTAATAATCATAGATAAAACAATTTGCCACAACTGATCAGACATCACACTCATTGACAAACAGAATAAAATCACATACATTATAGACATAGCCATTCCAAACACTCACAATGTACAAAAGGCATTTACTGAAAAAATTAGCAAGTACACAGAAGTTGCCCAGGAAATAAGTCATCTGTGGTAGATGAATAGGGTGCTTATTGTACCTATTGTTCTCTTTTATACAGGTTTCCACACACAAAAGCTTGAACACACTACAATTGAATAGAAATACATATATCACACTACAGAAGGAAACTATATTGAATACATGTCATATTGTGAAGAAATTTTTGAATACAGAAACGTACACTGATACACTTCTGTAATTTTTGGTTTGGTTGCTATACCTTGACTCTAGTCAGGCATAGTAAATAGTCACCGGTGTAAACCGATTTTTATCTAAATATGTAGAATTCGGTTTATTTTAAAGGCGTTACAAGCAGAAAACGTTACAAGCTCGTAATTTATCTAAATCTTCATGTACTTAAACACAAACAGAGTGTAATTAAAATATAAATGAAACAATTTAGAGTAGCCATGTAAAAATAACAATATTACTACAAATATATTCACAAAAAGTAATTTAATTTCCATACAAATTGTTACAGATATTAGTGTATTATTTTCACAATTGTAACATTATATATAACTTTTTTGATTATAACCGATTAACTACAATATATTGTGTATAATTTTAATATATTTTGAATAATATAACAGTTGCTAATAATATAATACTAGTTTTTATGTTTATAATTTTTATACGTGAATACAGTGAAAGCAAATTGTTAGCAGTTAAATTTATATTTCAGTGACAATTACAAAATCAAAAACAAATGTTATTATAGAACAACTAGTGTAATTACATTTATATTTCTCATAAAATTAAATTCATATTGTTGTGTTTTAAAGTGCGAAGTTTATACGTTTGATATTGTGAAACACGACAAGACTAACCTCATTATTTTCTTATTAGTTTTAGCAAAAATTCTGAAAAATTAACTGTATTGACTGACAATAGCTGTGTAAGTAACAGCTGCACTAACAATGGTTAAGATTAGAGTTCGGTTTATTTTAAAGGCATTACAAGCAGAAAACGAAGGCAATTCATCTAAGCATTTAGATGAAAATCTGCAAGCATATTCTTCAATATGTCTGTCGTTGCAAGACAGTGACATTTTATAGATTATGGAGGAAAATTTCACAGCTGACTCTGTTACTTTCGAAGCACCAATGCAAAGATCAACGAATAAAAGAAAGGAAAAACTAAACAATATAAATAAGGAATTTGATTGAACTCTATCGGTATTGAATGAAAGTGCAAAATTGCAGAGGATTATAGTTGAGAAAATACCATAAAAAGATGTCCAAAGAAACATAATGGAAGAATATCTTCTTTCAATATCTTCAACTATTTCTTTTATTTTCATGTAAATATTTGGAATCGAATGTATTTCTTTTGAGAATTCCTCACACCTAAATGTCCTATGCGACAATTCATTAACACAGCTTTCTATTAATTTATATGTCGAAGAAAAGTAAACAAGTAAAAAGTTCAATGGCAAATAAAAACAAAACAAACTAACTATTTCATATATAAAGAAAATTACAAGAGACAAAGATTTTGGTATATTAAAACCAAATAACATTTTTATATTCAGTGGATTTGCCTCACCGTCGTTAAATATATTAAAAGTTAGATAGTATATTAAAGTTGATATAGCATAAATCCATACAATTACTATTTTAATAAAAAAAATTCTGTATTCCCGTCTAGAAAAAAATTTAAAGTTTGAAGTAAATGGAAGCATTTTAATATTACGAATATGTTCTTTCTTATTCATATGAAAATAATAAATAGATGCGACAGCCATCAAGTCACAAACCACAAAACTAAATTGCCTTCCAAGTATGAAAAAGTTCAAAATTGTATTAATATGCTGAATGAAAAGGTAAAAGTTATACAAAGTGAAGATCTTCATTACAATCAAAATGATAATAGAGTAAAGTGTAAAAGTGTTCTTATTGTAATTCAATCCCAAGAGTTTCATGCTCTTTAGTAATGGTTTCCAAGATTCCAATATCTCTTCGACGTTTTTTGAATTTCTAGGAATGTTCACAACTGTGGTTAATCTCGTACCTTGTGTCTGAAATATAAATATTTAGCATTAGTATTATCTTCGTATTATAAGAATTAACATTCATCGGAATATTTTATTTTTATTGTTTTTTTCTCTTGTGGGCTTTAACCACATGGTCAATGTGGACTGAAAGAATCTTTTCTGTTTAGCCATTGTTTATGTATATTACATTGGGGTAAATAAATGAAGAAGGATAAAATAAATGATCAAGACCTACCAAGAAATCTGTTAATCATAAAGCAGTACGATTTTTGATATTTTAAGATAACATGTATAAAGGTTTCAATTTAAATTTTCTGTACTCACCTCAAACATACTTTCAGTTTATGTTTTAACTCTTTGTAGAAGATTTTAAGCACTGAGTTGACGTGTGTTTCTAATTCATTTTCTTTGATGACAACGTGGTGTTCACAAGTATGTTAATTTCATACGTATTAAATAGATCTTATGAGTATCTAACGATGGATGTTACTGCAACTGACGGTTGTATTGGTTCCATAGTGCAAATTACTGTATTGTGGATAAAATATAGATGTGACAATCGATTCTAAATGTCAACAACAAAACCACTTTATTAAATTGAAAATGCATCGATTTCTATGTCAAATTTTAATTGCTATTGGATGTTTTTTATGACATCAGCAGGGTTTTTTTATGTTTTTTGTTCAGGAAAATTTTTCCTCATACTTTTTTCTCGGTCCCCTCGTAATTAATAGCATAAAATTCGAAAATATTGTGTTACATTTGAACAGATGCGGTAAGTTAGCTCTCCTCCAGCTTTATACCAACATTCCCCAGAAGCGTACATGAGAACTACCCGGGAAAGCTGACTCCAGCTGTTCTCAAGGTTAACTGGTTTGTTTACAATTTAGATTGTACGGTACGTGTGAAATTTCATGCCTTGTTAAATGAAAAAAATAACAGTAGGTGCAGCTATATTTTTCAAATAAAAGTATTCATATTAAATTATTTTTAATTTTTTATATAGTTTTTCTGTAAATACACTTTTTAGGTGTATTTATTTTTTTCAATTTTTGCTGTCAGATTCGCATTTGATAGAAAATAATTATTTAATATATAATAAAAATTACTTAGGAGATTCCCAAAGCCATTAGGCGTTAAATAATTGAGTTTAAGAAGTGAATTGTTAAATAGAAATGAAGATTGAAGAATTTTTGAAATGCAGGAAATTACTCCAAAGTGAAAAAGTAATTTCTGAAATAGATACCTTAGAAAACAAATTGAGAAAGCGTAATGTAACGAGTCGTTCTTTTGCCAATTAGAATGTGACGAGTGCTATTTTATTCCTCTCCTCTGATATCAAGTTAAAATGATCCTAACAAAAAATGAATTCCTAAACTAATTAATTTTGATTTTTAAAAGAGGTTTTCGCTACAAGTGCAATTAAATACTGTATATTCATTTGCCAAAACGAAGTTTATGATGTATAAGAAGGTTTCATTGATGATAAGTCTTTGTAATCATATGATGGTTGACAAGAACCAGAAAAGTAAATGTCAACAAAGTAGGCCTTCTGATTAAAACTCTATTTATTTCTTTCGAAATTTAATTTTCTTAAATAAATATTGTATCTGATGGGCTGTACTAAGTAAATATTAGATAAGTTTGTATCTGTCATGCAAACAAATGTAAATTAAATTTTACTGACTTGAACATGTACCGAATATTTACTCAACACAAATTCTAAATTAAATTTTTCGTTATAAATTTAGACTATTGCTATCATTTTGTGTACGTGTAATAACATCAATTCTTGGAAAAATCGAAATTGGTCAAAATACTATTTCAAACATTGTAGACACTTATGCTGGTTTCCTGTTGTTTGTTAAGTTATGGCAACGCA